ACCACTTATTTTATTCATAGCTTAAAATACCGAAAATACGTGGGTAATTGAAAAAACTACTTTCTTATTAAACTCCATCAGCGACCGTTCTAGTGATACAGATATCAAATATTTCGCATATTATAAAATAATATGCGATAAATGTTTACATGCAACTGATAATATTTTTAATACGACTATTTATTTAGCTGGGCTCAAGATTATTTTTGGTTCCTAGTACAAGTAACTGTTATTGATTCTTGTGCCCACAAAACCCCTGAGGCCTGTGCATGTGGAATGGTTTTGTTTTGATTATAATCCATGATACTACATACCTGAAAGTGCGGGCTATGACGGCGCTGTGCTGGAGGCTGGTTAAAGAATTCTCGCATTATGGCAGCTCCTGCGATAACTCCCTATCAAAGCCCAGCGCCTACACAGGCAGTGCAGATTATAATATAAAAGTAGAAAAATAATCTCTTAACACCTATATGTACAATAAGAATCACCCTAACCTAACATCAAGTATGTGTATCACAGGGTCCAATCAAACCTAAGTCGGCGATTAGACAACGTATTCCGAGACGTTAACTAGTAGCTATTAAAAACCTGACACTTTTGTGAGTAGACCGTTTTTTACGCCATCTAAGGTAGAATAAAGTTAAAAATTGTTATAGTGGACAAAGAAGAACTGAAAAATCCTACAGATGATACTACTATGATGCTAGCTGTACTAACGTTGACAAATCTATCTGGAAACCCCAGTGGCTCAACATAAGTGGTTTATGAGCAAATAACCAGAGTCAAATCAGCAACCGAAGAAAAGGATTGTTGTTGATCTATTTTTCTAAACATGGTCGTCTCAACCCTTACTCCGTCTTAGGCAGGATCACCACCATCAAGAGCATGCGCTTTAAGCGAATGATGTGAAAGGGAGCGTAACCCTTTTATTCTAGCTCATCTTTGACCTCCTGTTCGGTGGTTGACGCTGGGATCCCTCTGATAACGGCATGGATGTTGCGTTCAGTGGGCAAAGGGAAAGTTGCGATGAGGAATGTTTTGTCCTCTTTAAAAAGTCTTCGGTTTTGGGGATGATACGTATCCCAGCGTCAACGGCGACTGCTTGTTTAACACGAATACCAAGACTTATAAAAGAATAGTTTAAAGTGCCCCATTTTGTCGAATCTCTCAACACGATCGGAGTAATAAGCCCCTGGCGAGGCGATTGGGTCTATGTGTTTAGAGATCCGCTGCATAGCAAGGAAGATGAGTTGCAGCCAGCCAATGGATCAGACTGCACTTGGGGTATAACAGGAGGAGCACTCTGTGTAGATGGTGATAAAGGCCTTTCCCTTGGCTGACTAGTAGAAGTAGTGGAGGGTACAGACATAGACGGTTTCAGGTTGCCTGAATGTTTGTTATTTGGGGATTTCGTCGGTGGTGCAGGAAATTCAGTTTTGCGCAGTCTCACTGTGTGTCCTCATCGGTCTCAGTATGTAGGTCACTCGAATGACTGTTATGTCATCGTTTTGCTGTTTTCTAAGAATCGACGTTGGGAACTGACATATTAATAATACTTGTAAGCTTAAAAACCTGGGCATTGAGTAACTCCACACAGTCAGTCAGTCTCTGAATCTGGGCTGCTTGGTCTGCGAGTATCCTCAAAAATCTCTGGTTCTCGTTTTCCTTCTCCAGTACCTGTGTTATCCCTGATGTCATCCCTGGCGTCATTTCGTAAGAAAGCTACAAATGACAATATGCCCACTTCGAAAACTTTTGTAATAACAGTACTTCTTCACCAAGTTTTCCGCGATGATAAAACCTTATTTCCTAGGACGTGCCTCGTATTGCAGAATTGCATTCCATAGCGGCCGAATGGGAAATAGCACAATCGGCAAACCACTTATTTTATTCATAGCTTAAAATACCGAAAATACGTGGGTAATTGAAAAACCTACTTTCTTATTATAATTCCCTCAGCGACCGTCCTAGTGATACAGATATCAAATATTTCGCATATTATAAAATAATATGCGATAAATGTTTACATGCAACTGATAATATTTTTAATACGACTATTTATTTAGCTGGGCTCAAGATTATTTTTGGTTCCTAGTACAAGTAACTGTTATTGATTCTTGTGCCCACAAAACCTCTGAGGCCTGTGCATGTGGAATGCTTTTGTTTTGATTATAATCCATGATACTACATACCTGAAAGTGCGGGCTATGACGGCGCTGTGCTGGAGGCTGGTTAAAGAATTCTCGCATTATGGCTGCTGCTGCGATAACTCCCTATCAAAGCCCAGCGCCTACACAGGCAGTGCAGATTATAATATAAAAGTAGAAAAATAATCTCTTAACACCTATATGTACAATAAGAATCACCCTAACCTAACATCAAGTATGTGTATCACAGGGTCCAATCAAACCTAAGTCGGCGATTAGACAACGTATTCCGAGACGTTAACTAGTAGCTATTAAAAACCTGACACTTTTGTGAGTAGACCGTTTTTTACGCCATCTAAGGTAGAATAAAGTTAGTTTCGTTAAAAATGGTTATAGTGGACAAAGAAGAACTGAAAAATCCTACAGATGATACTACTATGATGCTAGCTGTACTGACGTTGACAAATCTATCTTGAAACCCCAGTGGCTCAACATAAGTGGTTTATGAGCAAATAACCAGAGTCAAATCAGCAACCGAAGAAACGGATTGTTGTTGATCTATTTTTCTAAACATGGTCGTCTCAACCCTTACTCCGTCTTAGGCAGGATCACCACCATCAAGGGCATGCGCTTTAAGCGAATGATGTGAAAGGGAGCGTAACCCTTCTGTTCTAGCTTATCTTTGACCTCCTGTTCGGTGGTTGACGCTGGGATCCCTCTGATAACGGCATGGATGTTGCGTTCAGTGGGCAAAGGGAAAGTTGCGATGAGGAATGTTTTGTCCTCTTTAAAAAGTCTTCGGTTTTGGGGATGATACGTATCCCAGCGTCAACGGCGACTGCTCGTTTAACACGAATACCAAGATTTACAAAAGAATAGTTTAAAGTGCGCCATTTTGTCGAATCTCTCAACACGATCGGAGTAATAAGCCCCTGGCGAGGCGATTGGGTCTATGTGTTTAGAGATCCGCTGCATAGCAAGGAAGATGAGTTGCAGCCAGCCAATGGATCAGACTGCACTTGGGGTATAACAGGAGGAGCACTCTGTATAGATGGTGATAAAGGCCTTTCCCTTGGCTGACTAGTAGAAGTAGTGGAGGGTACAGACATAGACGGTTTTAGGTTGCCTGAATGTTTGTTATTTGGGGATTTCGTCGGTAGTGGAGAAAATTCAGTTTTGCACAGCCTCACTGTGTATCCTCATCGGTCTCAGTATGTAGGTCACTCGAATGACTGTTATGTCAACGTTTTGCTGTTTTGGAAGAATCGACGTTGGGAACTGACATATTAATAATACTTGTAAGCTTAAAAACCTGGGCATTGAGTAACTCCACACAGTCAGTCAGTCTCTGAATCTGGGCTGCTTGGTCTGCGATTATCCTCAAAAGTCTCTGGTTCTCGTTTTCCTTCTCCAGTACCTGTGTTATCCCTGATGTCATCCCTGGCGTCATCTCGTTTTGGTTTCCTGGAATATGTTCCAAAATAGCGCTGTACTCCGCGCCAACTCCACTCAAAGCAGTAGAAGGGTCGCCTGGGGACCCTTCGGGTTCAACTTCCATAATATTATTGCCTTCTTTCTTGCCAAAATATCAAAATTGCTCAGGAGGCAAAAAAAATTGACAATTAATGGCAGATGATGGAATAAATATCATTCCTGATCAACTGCTGTGAACTGTGTATTGACTGCTTTTCCACCGGAAACTCAGACAGACGTACGGAGATGAGTGACATGATTTTCGTGAGGTGCATAACATCCAGTAAACATATTGGCAGGTCCAATAGATAGTCTAGGCTGAGGTCCACATAGGAAAGCTACAAATGAGAATATGCCCACTTCGAAAACTTTTGTAATAACAGTACTTCTTCACCAAGTTTTCCGCGATGATAAAACCTTATTTCCTAGGACGTGCATCGTATTGCAGAATTGCATTCCATAGCGGCAGAATCAGAAATAGCACAATCGGCAAACCACTTATTTTATTCATAGCTTAAAATACCGAAAATACGTGGGTAATTGAAAAAACTACTTTCTTATTAAACTCCATCAGCGACCGTTCTAGTGATACAGATATCAAATATTTCGCATATTATAAAATAATATGCGATAAATGCAACTGATAATATTTTTAATACGACTATTTATTTAGCTGGGCTCAAGATTATTTTTGGTTCCTAGTACAAGTAACTGTTATTGATTCTTGTGCCCACAAAACCCCTGAGGCCTGTGCATGTGGAATGCTTTTGTTTTGATTATAATCCATGATACTACATACCTGAAAGTGCGGGCTATGACGGCGCTGTGCTGGAGGCTGGTTAAAGAATTCTCGCATTATGGCTGCTCCTGCGATAACTCCCTATCAAAGCCCAGCGCCTACACAGGCAGTGCAGATTATAATATAAAAGTAGAAAAATAATCTCTTAACACCTATATGTACAATAAGAATCACCCTAACCTAACATCAAGTATGTGTATCACAGGGTCCAATCAAACCTAAGTCGGCGATTAGACAACGTATTCCGAGACGTTAACTAGTAGCTATTAAAAACCTGACACTTTTGTGAGTAGACCGTTTTTTACGCCATCTAAGGTAGAATAAAGTTAGTTTCGTTAAAAATGGCTATAGTGGACAAAGAAGAACTGAAAAATCCTACAGATGATACTACTACGATGCTAGCTGTACTGACGTTGACAAATCTATCTTGAAACCCCAGTGGCTCAACATAAGTGGTTTATGAGCAAATAACCAGAGTCAAATCAGCAACCGAAGCAACGGATTGTTGTTGATCTATTTTTCTAAACATGGTCGTCTCAACCCTTACTCCGTCTTAGGCAGGATCACCACCACCAAGGGCATGCGCTTTAAGCGAATGATGTGAAAGGGAGCGTAACCCTTCTCTTCTAGCTCATCTTTGACCTCCTGTTCGGTGGTTGACGCTGGGATCCCTCTGATAACGGCATGGATGTTGCGTTCAGTGGGCAAAGGGAAAGTTGCGATGAGGAATGTTTTGTCCTCTTTAAAAAGTCTTCGGTTTTGGGGATGATAGGTATCCCAGCGTCAACGGCGACTGCTCGTTTAACGCGAATACCAAGACTTATAAAAGAATAGTTTAAAGTGCGCCATTTTGTCGAATCTCTCAACACGATCGGAGTAATAAGAACCTGGCGAGGCGATTGGGTCTATGTGTTTAGATATCCGCTGCATGGCAAGGAAGATGAGTTGCAGCCAGCCAATGGATCAGACTGCACTTGGGGTATAACAGGAGGAGCACTCTGTGTAGATGGCGATAAAGGCCTTTCCCTTGGCTAACTAGTAGAAGTAGTGGAGGGTACAGACATAGACGGTTTCAGGTTGCCTGAATGTTTGTTATTTGGGGATTTCGTCGGTAGTGCAGGAAATTCAGTTTTGCGCAGTCTCACTGTGTGTCCTCATCGGTCTCAGTATGTAGGTCACTCGAATGACTGTTATGTCAACGTTTTGCTGTTTTGGAAGAATCGACGTTGGGAACCGACATATTAATAATACTTGTAAGCTTAAAAACCTGGACATTGAGTAACTCCACACAGTCAGTCAGTCTCTGAATCTGGGCTGCTTGGTCTGCGATTATCCTCAAAAGTCTCTGGTTCTCGTTTTCCTTCTCCAGTACCTGTGTTATCCCTGATGTCATCACTGGCGTCATCTCGTTTTGGTTTCCTGGAATATGTTCCAAAATAGCACTGCACTCCGCGCCAACTCCACTCAAAGCAGTAGAAGGGTCGCCTGGGGACCTCTCGAGTTCAACTTCTATAATATTATTGCCTTCTTTCTTGCCAAAATATCAAATTGCTCCGGATGCAAAAAAATTGACAATTAATGGCAGATGATGGAATAAATATCATTCCTGATCAACTGCTGTGAACTGTGTATTGAATGCTTTTCCACCGGAAACTCAGACAGACGTACGGAGATGAGTGACATGATTTTCGTGAGGTGCATAACATCCAGTAAACATATTGGCAGGTCCAATAGATACTCTAGGCTGAGGTCCACATAGGAAAGCTACAAATGAGAATATGCCCACTTCGAAAACTTTTGTAATAACATTACTTCTTCACCAAGTTTTCCGCGATGATAAAACCTTATTTCCTAGGACGTGCATCGTATTGCAGAATTGCATTCCAAAGTGGCAGAATCGGAAATAGCTCAAATCGGCAAACCACTTATTTTATTCATAGCTTAAAATACCGAAAATACGTGGGTAATTGAAAAAACTACTTTCTTATTAAACTCCATCAGCGACCGTTCTAGTGATACAGATATAAAATATTTCGCATATTATAAAATAATATGCGATAAATGCAACTGATAATATTTTTAATATGACTATTTATTTAGCTGGGCTCAAGATTATTTTTGGTTCCTAGTACAAGTAACTGTTATTGATTCTTGTGCCCACAAAACCCCTGAGGCCTGTGCATGTGGAATGCTTTTGTTTTGATTATAATCCATGATACTACATACCTGAAAGTGCGGGCTATGACGGCGCTGTGCTGGAGGCTGGTTAAAGAATTCTCGCATTATGGCTGCTCCTGCGATAACTCCCTATCAAAGCCCAGCGCCTACACAGGCAGTGCAGATTATAATATAAAAGTAGAAAAATAATCTCTTAACACCTATATGTACAATAAGAATCACCCTAACCTAACATCAAGTATGTGTATCACAGGGTCCAATCAAACCTAAGTCGGCGATTAGACAACGTATTCCGAGACGTTAACTAGTAGCTATTAAAAACCTGACACTTTTGTGAGTAGACCGTTTTTTACGCCATCTAAGGTAGAATAAAGTTAGTTTCGTTAAAAATGGTTATAGTGGACAAAGAAGAACTGAAAAATCCTACAGATGATACTACTATGATGCTAGCTGTACTGACGTTGACAAATCTATCTTGAAACCCCAGTGGCTCAACATAAGTGGTTTATGAGCAAATAACCAGAGTCAAATCAGCAACCGAAGAAACGGATTGTTGTTGATCTATTTTTCTAAACATGGTCATCTCAACCCTTACTCCGTCTTGGGCAGGATCACCACCATCAAGGGCATGCGCTTTAAGCGAATGATGTGAAAGGGAGCGTAACCCTTCTGTTCTAGCTCATCTTTGACCTCCTGTTTGGTGGTTGATGCTGGATCCCTCTGATAACGGCATGGATGTTGCGTTCAGTGGGCAAAGGGAAAGTTGCGATGAGGAATGTTTTGCCCTCTTTAAAAAGTCTTCGGTTTTGGGGATGATACGTATCCCAGCGTCAACGGCGACTGCTCGTTTAACACGAATACCAAGACTTATAAAAGAATAGTTTAAAGTGCGCCATTTTGTCGAATCTCTCAACACGATCGGAGTAATAAGCCCCTGGCGAGGCGATTGGGTCTATGTGTTTAGAGATCCGCTGCATGGCAAGGAAGATGAGTTGCAGCCAGCCAATGGATCAGACTGCACTTGGGGTATAACAGGAGGAGCACTCTGTGTAGATGGAGATAAAGGCCTTTCCCTTGGCTGACTAGTAGAAGTAGTGGAGGGTACAGACATAGACGGTTTCAGGTTGCCTGAATGTTTGTTATTTGGGGATTTCGTCGGTAGTGCAGGAAATTCAGTTTTGCGCAGTCTCACTGTGTGTCCTCATCGGTCTCAGTATGTAGGTCACTCGAATGACTGTTATGTCAACGTTTTGCTGTTTTGGAAGAATCGACGTTGGGAACCGTCATATTAATAATACTTGTAAGCTTAAAAACCTGGACATTGAGTAACTCCACACAGTCAGTCAGTCTCTGAATCTGGGCTGCTTGGTCTGCGATTATCCTCAAAAGTCTCTGGTTCTCGTTTTCCTTCTCCAGTACCTGTGTTATCCCTGATGTCATCACTGGCGTCATCTCGTTTTGGTTTCCTGGAATATGTTCCAAAATAGCACTGCACTCCGCGCCAACTCCACTCAAAGCAGTAGAAGGGTCGCCTGGGGACCTCTCGAGTTCAACTTCTATAATATTATTGCCTTCTTTCTTGCCAAAATATCAAATTGCTCCGGATGCAAAAAAATTGACAATTAATGGCAGATGATGGAATAAATATCATTCCTGATCAACCGCTGTGAACTGTGTATTGAATGCTTTTCCACCGGAAACTCAGACAGACGTACGGAGATGAGTGACATGATTTTCGTGAGGTGCATAACATCCAGTAAACATATTGGCAGGTCCAATAGATACTCTAGGCTGAGGTCCACATAGGAAAGCTACAAATGAGAATATGCCCACTTCGAAAACTTTTGTAATAACATTACTTCTTCACCAAGTTTTCCGCGATGATAAAACCTTATTTCCTAGGACGTGCATCGTATTGCAGAATTGCATTCCAAAGCGGCAGAATGGGAAATAGCACAAATCGGCAAACCACTTATTTTATTCATAGCTTAAAATACCGAAAATACGTGGGTAATTGAAAAACCTACTTTCTTATTAAATTCCCTCAGCGACCGTCCTAGTGATAAAGATATCAAATATTTCGCATATTATAAAATAATATGCGATAAATGTTTACATGCAACTGATAATATTTTTAATACGACTATTTATTTAGCTGGGCTCAAGATTATTTTTGGTTCCTAGTACAAGTAACTGTTATTGATTCTTGTGCCCACAAAACCTCTGAAGCCTGTGCATGTGGAATGCTTTTGTTTTGATTATAATCCATGATACTACATACCTGAAAGTGCGGGCTATGACGGCGCTGTGCTGGAGGCTGGTTAAAGAATTCTCGCATTATGGCAGCTCCTGCGATAACTCCCTATCAAAGCCCAGCGCCTACACAGGCAGTGCAGATTATAATATAAAAGTAGAAAAATAATCTCTTAACACCTATATGTACAATAAGAATCACCCTAACCTAACATCAAGTATGTGTATCACAGGGTCCAATCAAACCTAAGTCGGCGATTAGACAACGTATTCCGAGACGTTAACTAGTAGCTATTAAAAATCTGACACTTTTGTGAGTAGACCGTTTTTTACGCCATCTAAGGTAGAATAAAGTTAGTTCCATTAAAAATGGTTATAGTGGACAAAGAAGAACTGAAAAACCCTACAGATGATACTACTATCATGCTAGCTGTACTGACATTGACAAATCCAGCTGGAAACCCCAGTGGCTCAACATAAGTGGTTTACGATCAAATAACCAGAGTAAAATCAGCAACCGAAGAAACGAATTGTTGTTGATCTATTTTTCTAAACATGGTCGTCTCAAACCTGACTGAAAGCAGGGCTACATAGGTACTAAATACTTCAAATAGCTATAGAAACCTAGATCTGGTTTCTTATCATGCTTAACAGTCTCGCCAACAGCTGTGTTAGGTATCACCTAATCTCAGGATTTTGGAGTTAAGGTCCAACCTTTCGGTCTAATAACTCACGAATAGATGTTGTATTGCTTTCAATCAGTTCCGCAATTATAGTTTTGTATGGCGCAGACGGAACGTTTTGTAAAATTGGAAACGAGTGAGAAAAAACCATCTTGTTAACTCCATAGTAGTTTACCCGAATAACGCCAGGATGTCCAAATTGTATAATCTATATAAATATTGTAATGAAATACGATGAATGGCCAATTTGAAAATGTTAAAGTAACCAGGATGTGGAAGAATGCCGCAAAAACGAAATTATCCTAAGGTTAGATCGTCCAATAAACTGTTCCGACTAATCACGGAGAAACTTTATTAAAATACTGAGATACGTAGAGGTTTTGCATACACAATAGTATTAATTGTTGGGTAACAAGGAGGGGTCCAGAACACAAATTTCATCCAGAAAATTCTTCTGAATAAGTCTTGACCTACCAACTCAAGCCTCGCGGGTTCGAATCTCCGTCTACACCATAGATTCTATAGTCAGTTACCGGTAGATGGGATGCGGGGTAGCACAGTATTAGTACAACGGGGTCTGCAAAGCGCCAAAGGTGATGACGTTACCACGTTTCCGTTTCCCACCACTCCTACTACTGCTACTACTACTACCCGCCAGTGCGAGGTGAATTAGTTTAAAATTATTCGCTTTTTGGTATCTTGTGTAACGTATCCACTATGTTTTAATGTGATCTGGAATCATTGAGGCTGCATATTAGTGCTTATACATTTTATTATTGTAGTAGTAGTAGAAACATTTATTTAGCACATTTGGCTACATCAACAGAATAATTGTAAACAACTTAGAACTAGTAAATTCAAGCCATACAATGTATGATGTAAATGCTGGTCAACCTATAATTGTAGATTTAACAAGTGATTTCTCAATTTTACTTTAAATTTTGTCAAAGTTTTCTGGTCTTTTATCTCTGAGTATAATTTATTATATTCAATCAACCCTTGATGGAATACAGATTTGTAGCATATGTTATACTTTTTGGTCATTAAATGGAAGTCATCTTTATTTCTGGTATTATGTATGGTCGACAATTGAGTATGTTAAATTAGTTAGACTTGATGGAAATATATTATTTTTTACTTTATAAATGAATATCATTACAAGATATTTGATAACATTTTTTACATTGAGCCATTTTAATTTGCTAAGCATTTGCCTAATTGGAGTATATTTATCTTTATTCAGTATTATTCTCATGCACTTATTTTGTAAAATTTGCAGTCTTTCAAAAATGGAATTATTTGCGAAATATAGAATAGTTGAACAGTACAAGAAATTTGGAAGAATGATGGTATTATAGATAATTTTTCTGCTATATGAACTCAGACATCAAGAAATTCTCGATAAATATCAAACTTTGCTACTAATCTTATTTATAATATCTTCATAATGAATATCAAAAATTAATCGAAAGTCAACAAAAACCCCCAGGTATTTAAAATTTTCTACGAATTCAATATCTTCACCATCAATATTCAGTTGAACATTTCGTCGCCTTTCTCACGAAGTGTTCTAACTGACAAAATACCGAAAATTGAGATAACCCGCATATACCTAGGTGTATTATTCCATGCTGGTTAATCTGACGAAGAAGCATAACTATATATCTATTAGTGTGGGCAACACACCGTTAGCCCCTGGGTGTCTTATCTGCAAAGGTAAATTGATGATTCCCACGAAGAGACCTAAGTGAAGATAAGTCCCTTAATATCCAATAATCCTTGTTAGTATACGCTCCTCGGTGGTGGAATCATGGCCAAAGTGAGGGAGAATCTGCTCATAGTGCAATTCATACTGCGATAACGGGAGTTGGAGATCTTTTTGAACCCTCATAACTCTATCCGGTTTTTTGATTCGCCAGAAAACGTCAACCTTATTTAGTAATTCCCAATGAATTTGTTGAGAAACTTTCAAAAGATTTAAGAATATTGTCCACACGGCAAGCTGAGGAGGGGCGAATGAATGAATGAATCTTAAAATTTAGAGGCATCCCGGCCACCATAAGGAGCCAGTGCATAGGCCGCTTAAGCGGGCCCTTATGCACCTCTACAATACTTAAATCACAAGCCTCGCCCTTTTAGCGAAGTTGAGAATCGCCTTGAGTCCAAGCTCCTTGACGTCCTGAGGGTCCAAAGTAATGGATCCCAGTATAGTCTGCCTATAGTAGCTCAGAGCTTCACAGCGACACAAAACGTGCACCCCCATCACGTGCAGGTGACGCCTTAACGTGTTATGGCCAGACAACAGTCCCACCAGCAACCTTAGGTTGGCTCTACCTAGAGATAGGCAGAAGCGTCCATCCTTAGCACTGGGCCCTTCAATGAGCTCTCGTGCCTGGCGGAGATGTCTAGAGATACTTCTCCATTTCTGAGAGTGTTGTCTTGCAACCCACGTCTCCAGTTTACTCCTAGCTTTATGCACGGTTACTCCTAGAGCTGGCTCAGGACCAACGAGCTTGCTGGCTGATCCTGTTTTCGCCAGAGTGTCCGCCGTCTCATTGCCCCTTATCCCAGCGTACCCCGGTACCCATATTAACGATGCGAGGCAATCCAGAGCCTCCCTGCATTGCAATACAAGACTCGAAGTAATCTTACAGGCACTTAGTGCTTTCATTGCAGCCTGGCTGTCGGATAAGATTGTTATTCTTCTCCTAGGCTCACCCTCCTCCAGAATGTGAGATACACAAGCCAGAATCGCAAAGATTTCCGCCTGGAAAATGGTGGTGTATCCACCGAGAGGCAGAGATAGCCTAGTTCTAGGCCCAGAGACTCCAGCACCTGAGCCCTCTTCGGTGACCGAGCCGTCCGTGTACCAGACCTGCCCGCTCACTTCGGAGAGTCCTCGGCTACCGGCGTCCCACTCCTCCCTCGTTGGAGGGGCAAAATATTAAGCGGAGTTTATTGTAATAAAAGACACGCCCACCAAAATATTTTTTAAGTCTAGCGACCACGATACTAGTTATGACAGTATTGAGTTAA